TCTCCTAGTTTATTCCCAGACAGATCCAGTTCTCTCAGGTGTGAGGGGTTTGATCTCAGAGCTGAAGCCAGAGCAGCACAACCCTCATCTGTGACGCCACAATTCCTCAACCTGTAGAGAACAGTAACACACTCTTCACTCTCTCAGATCCCATCAGTTTAACTGTGAATCCATTATTAAAGATAAAGTACAAACTTAAAGCACAAATCAATGTTTGATGGATCATTGGACTGAGATCTAAAATGTCACATAACACAAAACATGATAACAAAACATCCAAAGTATCATTCAAGCAGGATAAATATTTCTTATATGCACTATATCTGTATTTTATGCAAAATGTCTGTCTTATGCAAATCTATCTTCATTGATGACATTCATTCGCACACTAGTTGTCACAGTGTCTGGTTGTGGTGCGCTGGACTGGCCGCTTGAGGGCGTGCTTCCCGTTCACTGTTACATGTGTTGAACTCTAATTCCTATAGTCCTTTGCTTTGTCGTTTCTGTTCTGATCATGATCACCTGTTGGTAATTTACTCATCATTTCATCACTACTTATACCATGCTCACACTGTCTGTCTTTGCTGCAGTATTGTTTGAGGTTACGTCGTGTTGTCTGTTCCCTGTGTTTTGAATTTACCTTTTGCCTAATTTTTGTTCTGTTTTTTGGATTATTTGTTACTTTAATAAACATACTCCACTTGGATCTAACTTTGTTTTCTCTCAGTGTTCCGTGACAGAATACTGCAGCCAGTACAACATCCAGCAGTTTGTTTGGCCTTTGCCTTAATTTGGACAATGGACATGCGGAAATACCCCTCCTGCTACTGGGAAGGAGCGAGTGGCTCGACACCGGGCTCTGATGGCTCTGAGGCAGCAGGGAATGGAGTTTGGAGGTTTTGCCCAGACCTTTCGGATGTTTTCGGTGGGGCTGAATTATAATGAGGCTGCACTTAAGGACTTCTTTAATGTCTGTTTGGATGATCTTTTGCCCCAGTGGGAAATGGAGGGACTCAGGATCCTGGATTTCTGGGGCTTCGTCAAGTATCTCCATAGTCGAAGTCAGTGGGCAATACCAGGCCAATCAGAACCCTTCCACAGGGATTTTCCCACCACCTCTACCCTTCAGACTCCCACTGAGCAGCAGAGGGCGAGAAGGAGGACAGTAGAGTCCGCTCCAGTCCGGGAGCTCACCGAGCCCACTCCAGAGCCCGCTCCAGTCCGGGAGCTCACAGAGCCCACTCCAGAGCCCGCTCCAGTCCGGGAGCTGACAGAGTCCATTTATGAACTCCCTTCAGTCCAGGACCCCTCTGAGCCCACTTTAGAGTCTGCTCCAGTACAGGAGTTTATGGAATCCGCTCCAATTCAGGAGCTCTTAGACCCCATTTATGAACTCAGTTCAGTCTGGGACCCCTCTGAGTCCACTCCAGAGCCCGCTCCAGTCCGGGAGCTCACAGAGTCCATTTATGAACTCACTTCAGTCCAGGACCCCTCTGAGCCCACTTTAGAGCCTGCTCCAGTCCAGGAGCTTACAAGGTCCACTTCTGAGCCTGCTCCAGTCCAGGAGTTCATGGAGCCCACTCCAGGACATGCTCCAGTTCAGGAGCTCACAAGGTCCAATTCTGAGCCTGCTCCAGTCCAGGACCTCACAGAGTCCACTCCAGAGCCCGCTCCAGTCCGGGAGCTCACAGAGTCCATTTATGAACTCACTTCAGTCCGGGACCCCTCTGAGCCCACTTTAGAGCCTGCTCCAGTCCAGGAGCTTACAAGGTCCACTTCTGAGCCTGCTCCAGTCCAGGAGTTCACGGAGCCCACTCCAGGACATGTTCCAGTCCAGGAGCTCACAAGGTCCAATTCTGAGCCTGCTCCAGTCCAGGAGCTCACTGAGTCCACTCCAGGACATGCTCCAGTCCAGGAGCTCACAAGGTCCAATTCTGAGTCTGCTCTAGTTCAGGAGTTTACGGAATCCACTCCAGGGGATGCTCCAGTTCAGGAGCTCTTAGACCCCATTTTTTAACTCTCTTCAGTCTGGGACCCCTCTGAGTCCACTTTAGAGCCTGCTCCAGTCCAGGAGCTCACGAAGTCCACTCCAGGACATGCTCCAGTCCAGGAGCTTACAAGGGCCCCTTCTAAGCCTGCTCCAGTTCAGGAGTTCACGGATTCTAAGAGCTCCTGGTCTGGAGCAGGTCCTGGAGTGGGCTCCATTAAGGAACTCATTCCAGTCTGTGAACCCTCCGAGTCCATTCCAGAACCTGTCCAGGCAGGATTCCGACTTGGCTCTGGTTACCCGCTTGGGTTCCTGTTTGGCAGGAGCCTCACTGGCTCATTCCTCCGGCTCCATCCTGGCTATCTGCTGGGGTTCCTGTGTGGTTGCGGCCTTTCTGGTTCATCCTGCCGGCCCCGCCTTGGCCTTTCACCCTGCCGGTTCTGTGCTCATGCCCTGGTCTATCTCTGTCCTCTGGCCCCCTTCCATTGTATGGTCCTGGCCCGCCGTCCCTCCCCCTGGTCCGCCTCAGTTCCCCCTCCCTCCTGAACTTTTGTTCTGCATCCTCTAGGTTTCCCCATAGCGACCCCTAGAGGACGCAGTTCAAAGTTCCCATGAAAGGGAAACAGCGTTTTCTTTACTCACTTTAAACGCTGTCTATAAAGGCTAATGTTTTTGTGTTTAAAGAGCAGAGAAGAGTCTTAGGATTGCCGTCTAGTTGTAGCCAATACACTTTTGTAAGTTTTAAATATCCTGTGCATAGCGGTTAATCTTTTATATCGTGAGATTTTGGTCAAATGTAAACAACAAGAAAACCTGAGTGCCCATATAGCCACAAACTTTATAACCTGTAAATTGATGAAAATGTAATGCAATTAATTTACTGCCTTAGATTAACTACCCATTCTAATGACGGACAAAACACATAGCCTACTCCGACATTCGCTCGTCAAAAACCCTGTTAACACCATTTGAGCAGTGCTGGGCAGTAACGCATTACTTGGTAACGAGTTACTGTAATTTGATTACTTTTTTAGTAACGGAGTAATTTAACGCGTTATAATTTTCTAAATAGTAATTTGAGTAATAAATAGTTACAAGCTGAGTTCTCTATACGTTACTGCCACATTACATTATTGACAGATTGCAGTGATTTATAATCTAGAGATTGTAAAAAGGATGTAGCTCACGCAGTGTCGAGTCAAGTGCCAGTGGATTAGAGACCTGCTCTCGCGAGACCCGACGCAACAGCAGTGCGGCGCAGGACAAGACTTGATAGGCAAGTTCAGAGACTCGTGTGTGTGTGTGCGGGATGTGGGAGAATAAAATGATTCACGGGACTCCCGCAAAATAGAAATATCTAAACATAAAATATCTGAAACAAATAAATTATTCATCTATTGCACAAAAGCAACATGAACTAATCTAAAATATAAATGATTAACAGAAAGCGTATGCAGAGTTTCTATTTAGGCTATAACACGTGTTTGAAAATAACAGTATTCTGTGAATGTTGATGCTTTAATAACATATATTTATCGGGAGCGTGTATGCTGGGATTTCATAAATTTAATGGAGAAAAATGTAATGTAACCAGTAATTTAACTAATTACTAAATACTTTTTGAAATAAAGTAATCAGAACAGTAATTAATAACGTGATTACTTTTAAAAGGAGTAATCAGTAATCAGTAATTTAATAAAAATTTTCAGAGTAACTTGCCCAACACTGCATTTGAGCATGATTTTCAGAAAATGTTAAGTGCAAGTGTCTGATCATATATGAAGCCAAAATACCAACTCTAACGACGCATTGTTTAATTATTGGGGGACAAAACTTTTTTGTTTTAGTGCTTAGTGGTGTGCCGTGAGATTTTTTACTTATCAAATCTGTGCAATGGCAGAAGAACGGTTGGGAAACACTGCACTGCATAGCATGTGTGAGTCATATACAGTATGATCTTACCACAGTTTCTCCAGTTTACAGTGAGGATCCTCCAGTACAGCAGAGAGCAGCTTCATACTAGAACTTTTTAGTTTATTCCCAGTCAGATCCAGTTCTCTCAGGTGTGAGGGGTTTGATCTCAGAGCTGAAGCCAGAGCAGCACAACCTTCATCTGTGACGCCATAATTACTCATCCTGTAGAGAGATGAAAATCATACATGTGAAACACTATCAAACAGCTATCAAATACGCAAACAAACTTGCTGCAATGAACAACAACTTGCAATTCCAATACAATTAAATTAATTCAAACCATGAGAGAGAAAAAAACTGCACATGCATTTCTTAATGTCAAATTTTCCATGTTTCACGGGCAAATTGACACAAAAAATGTTAAGACTGGATTAAATCAACATTCATCTATTAATTGAGTAAAATTGTAATTGTATGTAATTGTATTGTAATTGAGTAAAAATGAAATTAATTTAATTAAACTTCTAACTGCTTTAACATGTTTAAAAATAATCCACGTGCTGGACTGTGAACTGTCAGATAGTTTTTGTGTTTTAATATACGTTTAAATCTAGCTCTTGTCATTCCAGATGCCCTTCTGTAAATTTTTTTAACTCAAAAAATATAAATAAACAATTATAATTAATAACTACCTTGTAGATTTCAATTGTTGTCTTCAAAAGTGTGTGTTCAAGTATGCTGCTATTTTGCTCCATTAACTGATACATCAGATTTTAGGAGATTTGAGCTGCTGTATATATGAGCTGCTTCTCCACTTGCTCTTGATTTCTGCTTGGTCTTTTATGCCAGATGAGACATATTTAAATTCTTTATTTATGTTCATTTTAACATTTTTAATTTGAAAATCTGAATTATTTACATGCGACTTCTCTGACTTTGTTTGAATGCCTAAATAAATCTTTTACAGTGTCAATGTATTGAAAATATAAAAATGCTGACCACTAAAATAATAGCTACAGCACTGAAGATTTATGAGCTTTTAATGTGATGATGCACTGCATTAAACTAATCCCACAGTTTACCTCACACCAGGATACGTGCTGTCTTGTGGTTGATTCATAGACTGGTCATACTTCTTACACATAGGTGTTGTTACGGATCTGTGTTGCAGGATTGACCTTGAATCAAGAATCAAACACTCTGATATTGGTGACATTTTTTCTCATTACCTTAATAACAGTTGTGACTTTATTAAAAGTGCACCTGCTCAAATTCACAAATAAATACCCTTTAAATAAACAGAAAAAAGAAGAAAAAATTGTACCCTGTGCTCTATATCTGCTTGTTGTCATTACATTTCCTAGCCAAATTTTTGCTCATTTATTTATTATAGTATAATTATGACAGTTTAATTAAAAATATCTTAGTATAATCACATCTTTTATAAACAATTTAATATTTAAGGTCAAACCTTGTTTCATCACTCTTAAAATCAACTGGATGACCCAAAGATTCGTCACTCCTCATAGACACACAGCTGGGCTCTGCTTCTGATTTCTTCTGTTGAACTGAACTATAACAAAAGAATCCTTTGAACTACTTTATAATTAACTGTAATATTGAATTTTGATTTGAATTTTTTTTTATCTTTTCATCATTACTCTGTTGATATGGAAACTATAAACTAAAGTTCTTTCATAAACTCTCTGCCGTAATAACTAATACAAATACCATAACATGAATATTAAATATAAGACATGAATATGAAAAAACATGAATATGTTTTAAATATAAAACAAAAACACGACATAAATATGACAGACAGCTATGGCTCTGATCTATTCTGCTGAACAGATTTAATGATGACATTCATTTTAATAAAGAAAAAATTAAAATCATAAAAAAACCTTCATAAGCATGTTCTATTGTCTCATTTTTAACTTAAAAAACACTGAAAGGGTGTTATGTGTGTTATTTTTTTTACTGAGAAGCAGCATTTAAAAACATCATGGCCGTCTGTTGTGGGAAAATACTCACCCTCATATAAAAGTTGATGTATTATCTCATATATTTGCAATATTTGCATGTTTAAAAAGTTGTTGTTAAGTTGTAGCTTATTAGGTTTATAGACTTTATGTCTGGGTGTCAAACGCAGTTTCTGGAGGGCCGCAGCCCTTCAGAGTTTCAACCCTGCTCTAATGGTGCTTTCAAGTCATGTCAGATTGATCGTAATTACGAGTTGAAAGCACATGAATGCCACCACAAGCTCATTATTACAAGTGGAAGACTCGAAATTTTCTTCAAGCCCTAAGTTTCTGAATTGGGGGCGTGTCAGTAAGAAAACGTGTTGGATGCAATGGACGCAGCTAAACACTATAGATATGCAGCGTCTCTAGTGATGGTACATTTGTTGAAATTAATAATTTTTTTTTGTAATGTAAAATAAAACTATAAGTTACATATATAAAATATTATATTATTGTATAATTACTATAGAATATGTAATGATTCAGTTTACATTACCTTCATTAAGAATTTATGAGATATATTGAGACATATTGAATTAAAACAGAAAAAAAGCAAAAACATGATGCACATTATTTATTCATCATTTTGTAGATGTAGAGTTAAAAATCATAGAATTGTGAAAAAGTGACTTGAATACACCTGATGTCGTAATTATGTCTCAACTCGTAAGTACGATTGTCCCAGCAAGACTTGAACGCAGCATAACACACATACCAAATAAACCTGAAGGACCTGTTTAGCTGGATCAGGTGTGTTTAATTATAGTTAGAGCTAAACTCTGCAGGGTGTGGCCCTCCAGGAACTGAGTTTGACACCCTGCTTTAGACTTTGTAGCCTATTTCAGAAAATCAGTTCAATACTTCAAACTCTTAAATTATGATTTATTGTCAATCATTTAATTTCATTTAGTTAGCAATACTGAATTTAGTTTTAGATCAACAAGACATGGATTATTTTTCAGGCATGTGTATATACACACACACATATACATAAGTATATGCATCTATGAAATAAGCTACTCCTCAAAAACATATGCAAACTTGTGTATAAAAATGTACAAAATATATGTTTGCATGTGTTTTTGTTTAGTATTGTATTCATACATCAGGTTTTTATGGCTCATATATACAATTCATTGCAATTCAGTGATTATTGAGAGATAAACAAATAAACCTTCCTCAAAAGCATGTTGTGTCATATTCAACAAATATTACTTTTTAACATGAAAAAATTTTACGTTTTTTTTTTTACATTAAAAATTATAAATGCATAATCAAGAAAACCCAAGCTGGTTCAGCCCAGTACATGTTCATCTTGAATTATTAGTAACAATATAAAAGTTTTCTTACATTTACATTATAAAACCATGAAAGATTTCACAGTAAAATTACAAACTATCAATCTGAGGGCATAAAGTAAATTGCACACAACAGGTTTAGCAGCAGAAGTTTTGACCATGTTAATAATTTATGGGCCCTAGAAATGTCTGTATCAAATATGATACAGTAGGATAATATTTTCATAAATACACATTGTTTCACACAATTTTACAACAAATGTTTTAAAAATGTAGCTAAAAAGTTGTAACACGCATTTCCAAACATGCTTTCTGTTTTCAATCAGTTTATACCCGCAAAGAGGCGACGTGGGATACAAACATTAAAATCAAAATAAGTCATGTTTTTTTTTATAAATAAATAAAAAATCACGAATTTGTATTAGCTATTAGTGTTCTAAAAAAGATCAAAATAGCAATAAATGAATTTCCGAATGTATCTTTATGGTCTTGCCGTTTTTAGGGTTAATATAGTATGTATTGAAAGTACCTGCATCCTGGAGAAAGCTCTTGATCTCGGGGTGTCTGTGTGTGATTCATGATGAAGAGTGAGATCTCCAGCACTTACTCTGAGTGGAAATGACAAACTAATCATTCAGCTGAACGGATCCTGAATGTCAGGACCTACTCATTGTTGAAATCATACTCTAGATTTAATACAGTCACATGGAATTGAAGTTAATGGCATTGAAATTCTGCAGCAGAGTGATGATATCTCAGATCATTATCTACTGTTGTATATGCCATATAGCTAAAGTTGTAAATTCAACTCCTTGTTACAAGTATGATAGAACCATCCCTTCTACCGCAAAAGACTGCTTTGTTAATAATCTTTCTGACTTGTTTCAATTTCTCAGCATATCCAATTGCTCAGAAAAACGTGATGATGTAACAATGTATTGACTCTCTTTTCCAGAACTTTAGACACTGTTGCTACTTTGCACTTGAAGAAGATTAAGGAAAACAGTCTGACACCGTGGTATAACGAGCACACTTGCGCCCTAAAGAGAGCAGCTGGAGGAAAACAAAACTAGAGGGGTTTCGCATTGCATGGAGTGAAAGTACTTCTACTTATAGAAAAGCTCTAAAAACTGCTGGATTTTCTTACTTTTCATCTCTTTAAGAAGAAAACAAACACAACACCACACATTTATTCAGTACAGTGGGTAAATTAACAAAAAATAAAGCATCAACAGGTGTTGACATTTCCCAGCAGCACAGCAGTAATGACTTTATGAACATCTTAAATTCTAAGATCGATACTATTAGAGTTAAAATTATAACCATGCAGCAGTCAGCTACAGTATCGCATCAGATAGTGTGCTATAGATCCCCTGAGGAACAATTCCACTCATTCTCTGCTACAGGAGAGGAAGAATTGTATGAACTTGTTAAATCATCTAAACCAACAACATGTATGTTAGACCCTATTCCATCTAAGCGACTAAAAGACTTGCTTCCAGAAGTCATCAATCCTCTTCTGAATATTATTCGTCATTGTCATTATGTCCCAAAAACCTTCAAACTGGCTGTTATTAAGCCTCTTGTTAAAACAAAAACACAACTTGATCCCAAAGAATTAGTTAATTACAGACCAATCTCAAATCTCCCTTTTCTATCAGCAGGAGTGATGACTCGGTGTGTCCCCCACCTCTTATTGCTTGGGGAGCTCGTGGTCGTACCTTGACCCATCGGCCCGTGTAAACGAGTTGAGCTGAAGCGCACAGATAAACCCGCGGCTTCAGCTTCATCAAGTTGTTCCTGATCTTTGTGTCAGGAAAAGGACAGCTTCCCCCATTTTGCAAGGGTGGGACAGACCATCCAAATGTTTCTGTCCTCCCCGAAATGCTCTCCAAATATATACCTGCTACTTCCACCGCTCGGTGCATTTCAGGGTGCAGTAATCTGAAATTGTAAATTCCAAATTGGTATCGCTCTCTCTCAGTGTTGGAGGAAGGAGATGCATCAGGCTTTGAAGACACACTGGTTTCAGAGCATCTGAAAGCCTTTTGGGAGATAGAGTCTCTCGGTATCATCATGAAGCAGACAGACAGTGCTGAGGAGGAGAAGGCTCTTCACAAGTTTGAAAAGACAACTCAGTACAAAATGGATGATATGAAGTTGAACTCCCAGATAACTACAGGATTGCAAAGAAAAGATTTGAGGGTCTTAAGTGAAGGTTACAGTCAGATGTAGTGCTGTGTCACCGGTATAATAAAGTTGTGAATGATTACATTGAGCAAGGCATCAAAGACGTGGTGAAGGAATCGTCTTCTCTGACCGCTGTGAAATACTACATGACTCATCATGCTGTTCTCCGTGAAGACAAGGTAACAACAAAGCTCAGAGAAGTGTTTGATGCCTCCTGACATGACACTGGCTCTCCATCACTTAATGACTGTCTACTTACTGGTCCTAACCTGAATCCTGCTCTGCTCAGCATATTAATAAAATTCAGACTGCTTGCGATTGCATTGACAGCAGATATAAAAAAGGCTTTCTTGCAGATTTCTCTTGCTGAGAAGGACTGAGATGCGGTGGTTTCCTCTGGCTCTCTGCACTGCCTCATGAAGACACAGGTGAGTAGCTGCATGTGTTACGGATGACGAGGGTGGTGTTTGGAGTTTCCCCCAGCCTATTTCTGCTTGCAGCTACAGTGAGAAAACATTTGAAGGAAAATTAAGCCCAACTTCATAGTGAAGATAATAAAGGAATCACTTTATGTGGATGACTTTATCTCAAGTGCAAGTGATGTTGAGAATGCCTTCTCCATAACGTCCACAGCTGGCATGAACCTTTGCAAATGGACAGCGAATTGTTTAGAGTTGAAGGAGAAATGGAAGACAATGATGAATTGCCTTGCACCAGAGAAAGACAAAACCATGATCATAGATAGTTTGTGTCAAACAGAGTGGCTGGAATGCAGTCCTTAACCAACCCTGCAATGAGGTTCCACTGTAAAGGTAAAGCCAACCCAGCAGATCTCCCCACAAGAGGTCAGACTGTAGCCTGTAACCTGAAAGAGAGTGAACTGTGGTGGAAAGGACCTTCATTTCTGACCTACACTGAATCTGTCAGAGGAGAGTGATGGAGATCAAAGTGATGAAGATGTGAGTAATGAGCTAAAACAAGTTCAGCAGATCACTGTGCAACTCAGCAGCAGCAGTGACCAAAGTGAAATGGAACCTGTGCTAAATTTACTGAAGTACAGTAAACTGAAGAAGGTATTTCGGGTCACTGCTTGGATTAAGACACAAGTTCAAGCTCCAAGAGACGAGGTAAGTTGACTGTTGAATATATGTTTGCAGGTGAGAAGTACTGGATTAAAGTGACACACATTTGCAGCTTTAGTCATGAGATTAGTTTGCTAAAGGCTGGTAAAACCCTGAACCTGGGTTGGCTCAAAAATCAGAGACTTCAAAATCTTTATCTTGATGCTGATGAATTCCTGTGTGTTGGAGACAGACTGCAACAGTTGGACTTCAGTTACAGAGAAAAACATCCATGTTTACAACCATGAATTCACCATGCATTCTGGTCTGAGAGACACTCTTGTACAAGTCAGAAGTAGACATTGGGTTGTGCAAGACAGATAACTTCTAAATAGGATTCTGTTGAAATGTACTGTATGCAGATGATTTAAAGCAAACCCCACACAGCAGGACACTGCTCCATTGCCATGAGACAGAATATCAGAGACCCCTCTACTCGAAGTTACTGGCATAGACTTTGCAGATCCACTCTATGTGAAGAATGACTGTTCATGCAAGGCTTATGTTGCTCTGTTCACATGTGCAGTCGTTAGAACAGTGCATTTAGAGCTGGTTTACATCAGTCAGCAGAAAGTTTCCTGTTAGCACTCAAGCGATTTGTTTCCAGAAGAGGTCTGTGCAAGGTCATTTATTCAGACAAACGAGGAAAACAAGACCTCAGCCAATGACACCTGCACACTTCCCGATCAGTGAACGACTAACTTCACTGCCACCAAAACCATTCCCAGCAGACTCTGATCAGACCACTGTGAGTAAATAGGAGATGACAAGGAGGTGGAGATAGAGAAACTGGTTCATGACCAACCTGTGGAATGACCATCTCCTAGACCTGAAGTCTGCACAAACTCACTGATTTGAAAACAGGTGGCATTATTTTCATAAGAGACGTCCACATACCAAGAAAACCCTGGAAATTAGGAAAAATTGAAGAGCTGTTTTACAGATAAGTATAAGACATTAATAGAAACTGTAGAGTGTTCACTTTAATGGGTGTTTTGATGGTTCACATAAACTTATCCATTCCAATTTAATTTAAATCTAAATGAACATTCTAATTTTGTCGGTTAACAGTCAATGAATGGTTAACGAGCATTGGGAGTCGGTCAGAAAAATGAACCCCAAATGAACATCCTTTTTTAACATCATTTTATGGGGTCCCAATCACGCAGTCTCTGTTGATTGTGTGACTGTGATGTCTCTGTAGCGGCTCCTTATTCACCATCAGCTGATCCTGAGGAAACTGGACTGATGTCTAAATACTGATAGTCCTACAATAAAACAAACAGACAATCGCATATGAGTATGAGACATTACTGCTGCCACATTGCATCAGCAGATCCATTTCAGAAAAAACACAGTATATTCATATTTCAGCCAGAGATATGACCAGTAAATATTCAACCACTACTATCACTTAGAGCAGGGGTGCTCAACCCTGCTCCTGGCGATCGACTGTCCTGCAAAGTTCAGCTCCAACCCTAATCAAACACACCTGAAGCAACTAATTAGGGTCTTCAGGATAACTTAAAAATTAAAGGCAGGTCTCTTTGATTAGAGTTGGAGCTAAACTTTGCAGGACAGTCGATCGCCAGGAGCAGGGTTGGGCACCCCTGACTTAGAGACTCTGTAAGAGATTAAACTTTTTAAATATTCATAAATCCGTCACATCGCAGAATTAAACCGTTTAAAGTACAGAGACTAAAGTGAAGCTGAATTATCATCTTATATTCTCCAATTACACATACAGGAGGTCTGTTATTCAATTTAGAAACTTTAAATAAACAAACACTCACAATAGCATAATGTCTCCAGTTTGTAATGTGGATCATCCTTCAGATCAGAGAGTAACTTCACTTCAGATTTTCGCAGTTTATTTCCAGACAGATCCAGTTCTCTCAGGTGTGAGGGGTTTGATCTCAGAGCTGAAACCAAAGCAGCACATCCTTCATCTCTGATGCCACAATTATACAACCTGTAGAGAACAATGACACAATGTGAATTGTAGTTGAAATGTCTGTAGTTGGTTATTGACTCTGGTATCAGAGCAGGAGAGGAGATATAATGACAAGCACTGCCACATACTGCTGCTGATAGAATGATATTTATGCATGTTGATGCTCAATGCTTCTGTTTGAAACTGTCATGTGCTTCAGGACTGAACAGACACCGAGCTGAATGTGAGATATTGTTTCATAGTGAAATTGAGATACTGAGATATTGTTTTATAGTGACGGATTTGTCTTAAGAAATAATCACTTGCTCCTCTAATAAACACCTACAGGAGGACATTTGCTTCACAGGAGCCTCGTGTTCCCCATTACATCTCATTTATTAACTCTTGTCATCAAACACATCGTGTCATGTTTGGTCTCATCTGGCAGCTTAAAGGGATAGTCCACCCAAAAATTACAATTCTGTCATTAAACCCTCATGCCGTTCCAAACCCGTAAGCCCTTCCTTCATCTTCGGAACACAAATTACGTGCGTGCGTGCATATGCATTTTTTACATGAAGCAGAAGCAAGTGCGTGCGTCGTGATACTCTTTCCCCAGTGACGGCACGCCGCTGCAGACGGGTTGAGGAGGAGAACAATTGTTGAATAAAGTCATTATTTTTGTTCTCTTTGTGCACAAAAAAGTATTATTGTAGCTTCGTAAAATTACGGTTGAACCCTGAGCTAAGCTACGTTTCTGGGTCTGGGAACATTTCAGTTGTGTTGCTGTCTATGGAGGGTTCACAGAGCTCTCAGGTTTCATCAAAAATATCTCAATTTGTGTTCCGAAGATGAACGAAGTTTCTACGGGTTTGGAATGACATGAGTGTGAGTAATTAATGACAGAATTTTCATTTTGGGGTGAACTAACCCTTTAAAACTGAATAGAAATGTGTTAAACTCAATAGAGATTGTGAATTAGTTGTGTACTCTGCTTTAAAAGTGGGAAAATGTGTTTTGTGATAACTTGTTTTTAACTATTTTTGAGACTTTTATTCAAGAATATGGAATACATGGATCGCATTTTTAATGGCAAAATTCTTGAAACTCTCATAATGCAAACATACAGTATTTAAGTCTGTGAATATGTCTAGAATAACTTTTGATGCTGAATTTTCCACTAACCTAGTTTATAATATATTTTTGGCATAGATAATGTTTATATTTTTTTCTTTATAATGAATTAGCCTGTATTTAGTTGATTGTAAAAAAAAAAAAAGATTATCAGTTCCACATCCAGAGATATTAAAATTCTACATTGAAAAAAAACTGCACTGGTATCGGATCGGGATCTGTATCGGCCAATACTGAACCATAGGTGTCGGAATCAGTATTGGACATGTCTTGGATATTGATATGGCTATTTACCAGTTTCAATGTTATTTTATTTTGCTTGCTTTTAAATTGATGCCATATGCTTGAATATGAAAGTACCTAAAATGCTTTAAATTACATTGATGTAGAGCTTAGATAAATGTGCATGACTTCCTGTGTTTATGCTGTAGAACAGGTGCAAAAAGTAAATTCATGAACTTAATGTTTGCAACTAACCACAAAGGTTACTGAGAGGGTACACAGGGGTGCAGAGGAGGTCTAAAACCACAAGCGGAGGTAAAACAGACAAGACTACAGCAAAGAAGGAGAAGAGTGCTAAGAGAAGATGACAGCATAGGAGAAGATGCAAGGGCATACGAAGAGACTGATATTGAATTGGAGTTTCACAAAAAGTAGTATAAAAAGTCTGAGTAAGCCACTCTTTAGATATTGCCTGCATTAAGCGTGAAGGACACCTGAGGCAAAAAAGACGGAATGGAGCATCCCTAGTTCCCTTTCGAACGGTCTCTCCCGTTGCGTAACATCCATTGGGAAAAACTTCTGTTTTACTCTGTACTGAAGCCCGATTTGTTCACTTTTTTGTAGTTGCGCAAACCAATGGCACTTTAGCTCGCCAGAAAAGGCAGAGGCGACCACTATCCAAGTCGGCTCGAAGCACCATTCATCAAATCATTCTCCTTCAGCGACGAGGATCATCTCTTCAAAAAATAAGGAAGAAGCTCATCCTGCAGCTCACCGCCATAGAAGAGCCCCGGCAGAGGAAAAAGCGAGAAGCTTTCCCCTGTGGCCATCCGGCACTTAAAAGACCAAATTTCTAAGCAAATTTCCTAGCAGCATCGTTTCAAATGTCGCGCCGTGATTGTAGCTCGTGCGGGAAATCATGCAGGATGTAGAAGGGCAAGGAGGGCGTCGCCTGTCTGGATTATCAGCTCCCCTCATCTAATGATCAGATCAATCTTTTTAGGCAGATTAAAAGAGAATGCTGTTACCAATGATTATTATCATTGACAGCTTCGTACTAGATACATCTCCGCGCCCAAATCTATGGCCAAATTGCAGCCCCTATTGCTTAAAATGGCTCTCCTCCTAGCCTTAGCATCGGTTAAGCAAGTGGGTGACTTGCAAGTGCTGTCAGTTAGCGCCTCATGTCTTCAGTTTGGACCTAACGAGTGTAAGATCGCCCTCAAACCAAGACATGGCTGTTCCTATAGTGCTCTCGACTCCGTTCAGAGCACAGGTGATCACCCTGTTGGCGCTCTCCGTTACAGATGGTGAGCAGGGTACTAACTGGCTATGTCCAGTGAGGGCACTGAGAGTGTATTTAGAGCACTCTAGCCTGTTTAGGCAGTCAGAGCAGCTCTTTGTTTGCTTTGCAGGCCGCCAGAAGGGACTGCTGGCCACAAAGCAGCGACTCTCTCGCTGGATTGTAGATGCGATTGCCTTGGCTTACGCCTCAGAAGGCTTCCAATGCCCTATAGGTGTGAGGGCCCACTCCACGAGGGGGATGGCCTCCTCCTGGGCATGGTCCAGCGGGATCTATATTGGTGAGATTTGTGCGGCCACTGGCTGGTCATCGCCGTCCACATATGCCAGATTTTATCATTTGGATTTCCCTGCACTACAGGCACGGATTCTCTCTGTTTAGACCGCCATTCTTCCCCCTTGGGTGAAGTTGGTTATATTTGTGCTTATCAGCTACTAGCTTGTAGCACAGTGTGCTTATGTTCTTGGGAGTCCTTGTCTAGTGCTCCGAGATTGGGCTCGCAGGACAGATTGTTCTGTATCTGCTCATAGATTGCGTGATTGGATGCTGACATAACTTAGGTTCCCTGAAATAAGGGACCGAGCATTGGGTCACTTTCCGCGCCATAAGCTGCACGAGAATCGATGACTGTCGCTTCAGTAGAATGATCTGATGAATGGCGCTCCGAGCAGACTTATTTAGTGGTTGGCTCCGCCCATTCTGGAGGGCTAAAGCGCCACCGATTTGTGCAACTACACAAACGTGAACAAATCAGGCTTCAGTACAGAGTAAAACAGAAGTTTTGCCCAATGTGTGTTACGCAACGCTCATTCCCCTAATCTCAGGGAACCGAGGTTATGTCAGTAACCGGAGTGTTCATTTTGCAAGGAATGAAGCTGACAGAAATGCATACAGACAGTTTTTGTTTGTGAGAACTTGAAACAGTTCTGTGTTGACCAAGATTGTATTTTGTTTATCTTCAGTTGGATTTTATGGTATTTGGTAGTTGATGGTTTTCATGTACTTGCTTCTGTAACAAATGCAGATATCATCTACATACAAACTACAGTGAAAATCAGAACAAATGGCTTTTGCAATGCTGTTTATTTTAATACTAAAAAGCTAAGGCTGAACACTTCATATTTACTTTAAATGTGCTTCATGTGTAAGTCATATATGATCTTACCTCAGTTTCTCCAGTTTACAGTGAGGATTCTGTAGTACATCTGAAAGCAGCTTCACTGAATCTCCTAGTTTATTCCCAGACAGATTCAGTTCTCTCAGGTGTGAGGGGTTTGATCTCAGAGCTGAAGCCAGAGCAGCACAACCTTCATCTGTGATGCCACAAGTATTCAACCTGTAGAGAACAATGACACACTCTTTACTCTCTCAGATCAGATCAGTTTAGCTGTGAATCAGTTATTAAAGATCAAGTTCAAACTTAAAGCACAAATCAATGTTTGATGGATCATTGGACTGAGGTATTAAATGTCACAGAACACAAATCATGATCATAAAACACCCAACGTCTCATTCAAGCAGGATACATAATATTTATTGTATGCCTTACCTAAGTTTCTCCAGTTTACAGTGAGGATTCTGTAGTACATCTGAAAGCAGCTTCACTGAATCTCCTAGTTTATTCCCAGACAGATTCAGTTCTCTCAGGTGTGAGGGGTTTGATCTCAGAGCTGAAGCCAGAGCAGCACAACCTTCATCTGTGATGCCACAAGTATTCAACCTGTAGAGAACAATGACACACTCTTTACTCTCTCAGATCAGATCAGTTTAGCTGTGAATCAGTTATTAAAGATCAAGTTCAAACTTAAAGCACAAATCAATGTTTGATGGATCATTGGACTGAGGTATTAAATGTCACAGAACACAAATCATGATCATAAAACATCCAAAGTCTCATTCAAGAAAAATAAATATTTCTTTATTGAAAGGTACGTTTATGGCCCAATATTAATACTCCCACCACCTCTACTCCGTGTGTTTCTCTGCACAGGCCACGTGCACCCAGGATGCAATCTTTCTGGTCTCCTTCACTCCAGCATCGGGATACACAGACCCTGGGTGCACCAGCAGCGGAAGACGCGAGCCAGGCCCTGGGCGAGGACCTCTCCCCCTCCACCGCCTCCGGTCTTCAAGATCTCCACCTGGAACCGCCTCACCCCTTCGTAAGACGGAACGTGACGCTGTGATCATCGGAGACTCCATCGTCCGGCACGTCCGTGCTACGTTAGCTGAAGATAAAGCGTACACTCACTGTTTCCCTGGTGCTTGTGTTCTCGATGTTTCTGCACAGATACCCGCAATCCTAAAGGGTGACGAGAGCACCGGTACTTTCAGGCATGAAAAACATCAAGCTGTGGCAGACAGAGACTCTGAAGAGGGACTTCAGGAGCCTGACCGAGACGGTGCGCAGCACATCGCCCATGACGAGGATCATCGTGTCAGGACCGCTTCCCACATATCGACATGGACATGAAAGGTTCAGTAGGCTTTTTGCTCTAAATGAATGGTTATTGTCATGGTGTAAAGAACAGAAACTGCTCTTTGTTAATAATTGGAATCTTTTCTGGGAGCATCCTAGGCTTTTTCGGGCTGTTGGCCTGCACCCCAGCAGAGTCGGAGCGGAATTCCTGTCGGACAACATCTCCAGGACGCTTCGCTCCATATGACTAGTAAGCCAATTCTCAAATAACTGCTATGATGGCTTTTGTTATACCCACTTAAATGATAGAAGTACTTGTGTTGTCCAATCTATAAAGACTTTGTCTGTTCCCCAAATAGTGAGGTCAAAATATAAATCTAATACAGGACCTAGAAAAAAAATTCTGATCGTGATTAAACCAGATAAATGCAAAATGAACTAACATTAGATCACTCGCACCCAAAGCAGTTATTGTAAATGAAATGATCACAGATAATCGTTTTGATGTACTCTGCTTGACTGAAACCTGGCTAAAACCTAATGATTATATTGGTCTAAATGAGTCTACTCCACCAAGCTACTGTTATAAGCATGAGCCCCGACAGACTGGTCGTGGTGGCGGTGTTGCAACAATATACAGAGAGATTCTCAATGTTGCTCAGAAAAACAGGATACAGGTTTAACTCATTCGAAATACTCCAGCTTAATGTTACACTGTCAGATATGCAAAATAAATCTATCATATATCTTGCTCTGGCTACTCTGGATAGACCACCAGGGCCGTACGCAGATTTCCTAAAAGAATTAGCAGACTTATTGGTTAATTTTGATAACGTGCTAATTGTCAGAGACTTTAACATTTATGTTGCTAATACAAATGATGCATTAGGACTTGCGTTTACAGACTTCAACTATCAACTTAAGGGTCAAACAAAACATAACCGGGTCCACACATCATTTTAATCATACGATATTTAATTATATCACATGGAATCAATCTTTCTGATATTAATATTGTACCTCAAAGTGATGATGTTACTGACCACTACCTTGTATCGTGCATGCTGCTTATTACTAATATTAAAGGTGCAATAGGTGATTGTCTTCAGAAAATGTTTTTTGTTATGCTGGTTGCAAGTCTCTTCACATCCCGATAACAATCATTAAGTTAAGTGGTCTAAATGTATTTGTCTGTATTTATATATTCTGTGGAAGTCATAGGATCAAGAAATGTTCGTTCAATCAAAACGCTCACCCTTACGAAAAAGAAGTTTATGCAAGTCTGCTATTGGTATACTTCTTTTAAACAAAAAAATAGGAAAGTATACTTTTAGTTTACTTTTTATGTACTTCTCAGAAATGGGCTTTATGTACTTCTCAGAAATATACTTAAAATTATATTTAAGTATACTTGACTTATACTTAGAAAAAGCCTAAATATATTTGAGCTATCTTATGCTCCTAGAATCTGTGTTTTCATTGTTATATGGTAGGGGGCACTAGTTCACATCTTCTGTACAGAATTTCCAAAAAAACAAGTGAAGAAGAAACCGAAACAACAGATGCTTCCACATGTAATCTAGCACTATCATCAGACATAAAATAGCATCAAAACAGTGTAACGTTATGGAATAAAATGTCGACCAATAAAGAGGTAATAATGACTGTCAAGCTTTGGGGTGTTGAGCGACTCTATGAATCCAATTCATAGTATTTTTTTCAGCTTTTTGTTCAAAATGTTATTTCTTTATTTTTTATTTACAAAACTTACCCACATTCAAGTGTTTAAAAAAAGAATGCATGAAGCTAGAATACAATTTGTTTGTTTACAAGCATATACCCTGTTCTTTCTTTTGATGTTTTGTATGTTCATATAACAAAATATATACAAATTAATACCTAAATAGGAACATAGTAGTATATTTAAAGTATGATGTAAAGATGTAAAAAAGAAAACTTACGAGTATACTTGCAGTATAAAACTACTAAACTAGTAGTTTACTGAGACAATACTTCAAAGTGTATTAAAAATGGTACAAGTATTTAATTAGTAAACTATCAGTATACCTAAGTTCACTTTTAGCATAGTTGCAGTACAAGCTAAAAATATTGATGTAAACTAGTTGTGTACTCAAAGTTTACTACTGTTATACTTAAAGTATACTTAAAAGTATACTTTTATATACTAGAAAGTGGGCCAATTTAGTCCCAATAAGTATTGAAATAGTACACTTACTAGTACACTGATATTTGTATACTTGCTACATAAAGTATACTTAAAAATATACTTGAACTTTACTTAAGAATACTTAATACTATAAACTTGAAGTATACTACTTTTTGGTAAGGGCAGTCCGAGCGTTTTAATATGCTTTCCTACCTGCCTGTCAACGTATGTATTAGCATACCTCTGCGCATTCACGTATGCTGTGCAGACAGAGCGAAAATGGCAGTTGTAGTACTTTTAAAGTTTTCTCACCGGTGAATGACACATGAT